TGAGAGCTTACTTTCTATCTCCTTCATGTATCTTCCTTTTAATGGAGATAAGCAAAAGTACAATTCAGAATTTTTTCTTTACCTCTCCCACACTGCATATATTAAGAAAAAATTTAAGTGTTTGCAGTGGATTTAAACTTTTATGGATAATTTTTTATTATTAAATATTTTCATGATCATAATCTTTACAGTTTTAATAAAATTATAATCTGCTAATTGTATTTACAATGAAACATTGCATTCTCTATCATATATTGCAGTTAAAATTAAATATAATTTTTGCATATACTGTAATGTGTCTTACTAGTGAATTTTATGAGTAGAGTCCATGATTTGAGTCTTATGGTAATGTATTTACTGTGTTGTCCTGAAAACTTGGGTCACAGAAACATGTTTTATGGAGGTAGAACCATTGGCTCAAATGGTATGGACTTTCCACATTTATTGTATAACAAATGCACTTTTGTTGCATGCAAAAAAAAAAATTGACAATGGCTGGCTTTATCATAGTAGCATTTGGAAGCCTAGGTGCATTCCCAAATTCCAAGATATTTTCTCAAATCTTGGAACTTGTGAGCAGTGAATATTTTTAGTCCTTTGTGAGGTGTACCATGGTGGTGAGAAAACCCAGCTGTTGCCACCTGGAGTTGAGCTGAACACTCGCTGGTAACAACAACTCAATTCCATGACACTTGAAGTTTAATGTTTTCCTTGTAGTATTGTCAAATGCTGTTTATTAGTGTTATTTTGTGTCTCAACCTTATGTTCATCAATATAGCTCTACAATTAAAAACTGATTTTCAATTTTCCACTTCATTAGTGTTGTATTAAGACAAAATTTAAAAGTTAACACATTTGGCATGTCTTTGCTTGAGCAGTTTGATATTGCTATAAAAAAGTTTTGCAACATTTTTATAGAAAAATTATCATCAATACAGTATATTAAAGTAGACTAGAACAGTGCAAAATAAGAAACACAAAATCCATGAAATGAGGCCAGTATCAGGGTGAGTAACTGATAAAGACAGACAAATATATCTCCAGAAAATAATTCCATTAAACTGCAGCTACATTTACAGATGGGGTAATACTGCAAATGCAAAAATAAAAGAAGTTATATAAAAGATGAGAAGACGTAAAAATAATAACCATGTTGGTCTCGTATGTTCACACAGCTGCCCTCCAAAACCGATTTTGCCACAACCACCCATATTGTGACAGAGGTGATTACATGCAAGGAGCCTGACAGCTGAGTGGACAGCAGTTCAGATTCATAGTCCTGAGGTTTCGGGGTCGATCCCCGGTGGAGGCGGAAACAAATGGGCAGTTTTTCACCCTGATGCCCCTGTTATCTAGCAGTAAATAGGTACCTGGGAGTTAAACAGCTGCTTCCTGGGAGGGGGGGTAACAAAAAAGGAGGCCTGGTTGAGAACTGGGCTGTGGGTACATTAATTTAAGCCCCAGTCATCTCAAGATAACCTCAAGATAAGATGCATGTACATTACAGTACACTGTGCACACATGGTACTAAAATTTTTATTTTTTTCCAATTTAAACCCAAGATGGGCATGGGACTGAAATGGAAACACCGCATTAAGTTCTGTAGTTACAAAAAAGTGCATATTATTATACAAATTATTGTATAATTTTATATCAGATGAAATGAACAGCTATGATGACCATCCAAATGTAATTAGTTGTTGGTCAAATCAGGCTAGTCCATATTCCATTTCATAGCTCTTGGGATAGACCACAAATGACCCACATATTTTGGCTTTGGCCTAATAAGCAAAAACTAATTTGTAACAATGGTGCTATATAACCCTGCCATTCAAGAAAGTAGAGGGCATCATGTTCACTCATCCTTGATTCTGCCCTAGTACCTTGCATACGTCCACATTCACCAATATGTTTGATCCACCTATGTGATCTAAATATTTTTACCCAATTATATAGAAGAAAATGTGACTATTGAATGTTCCCAGCTCCATCTTCACCTGCATCAGTTCAATAGCACATACAGTACATTTCTTGCCTGAGTTTACCTGAGTCACTAATGCTAGTGGCCTCGACAAGGACAGGAAGCCAGTGGCTTGTCAAAGGCCCCCCCATTTGCCTTGATGATCTTTTTCAGTTGTATTTTAAAAGTTAAGAATTTTGGCATTTACTGCTTTGGTGGGTAGGCAATTTACTGGCAAGTCCCTTGTGGCTCCCTGAAGCTACACTGAAATGGTTCCCATCTACCAGGTCGCATCAGCTATGGAGTTTTAGGCCTACCAGAGGCAGAACCTGGTCCCCCCTCACAGAGCCACAGAAAGCATTAATGTTTTGCCACCTCACCATGTAAGGCATCCAGAAAGTCAGCAAGCCAAAACAAATCGCTGCCAGTTCAAGAGATCAAAGCCTCACAACCCACTTAAAGAACTCCCCCAGCTATGTAAACAAATTATCAAATCATTCGAAACGAGCATGAGCCTTTGCCCTGCGAGGCTCTTCTTGTACACTGCAGTGTAGCATGAGCCTGGCATATAGTGCTTGGAGCTGCATGTGCTCAGGGTTACCTTCCCTGTGTACTCCCTAGCACTACCCCTTGCATTCCCAGAGTTGTTTTCTCTGGAGTGTTCGGGGGTCACTCCCTTTGTGGTCTTCCTTGCTGATGGTGGCTTTTGCCCTGGGTCAGTCAGGAATCTTCTTGACTCCTTTGTCTTAACCCAGGTCGAAGGCAAACATTGCTGGTGGGGCTCACTGGTGGTTCATGCCCCTATGCCGAGGTTGGCCTTCTCATCCGTGTAATCCAGGCTTACTTTTTGATCCGGCGTAATGTCCCCAGTGCCTGGGTGTCCCCCTTGGTTTACCTTTCAGGCCCTGCTAGTTTTGTGGTCCTATGGATGTTTTCCCTCCCCCACACACCCTGAACCTGCTCTCGCCTTTGAGGATTGTTTGTCATCTGTGACACGGGACAATGATCACTCTCCTGTTACTAAAACAGGAAATGGGAAATGTATTGGCCACATGCAATTAACTCTTGGGCACCAAATGAAGGACATGCACATGTCAGAACTGCATTGTTCTGCTGAAAATCATCATAGAATATCTTGATTTTCAGGATAAACAAAAATGACTGTGGAGCTCCTGGTGGTTCCCTGAAGCTATCTCGCCAAGATTGCTCCATGCAAATGGGTCACATCAGATACAGGAATCCTGTTTGGTCTACCAGGAGCCATAGACAAAACCTGGCCTCCTCACAAAGAGGCGCAGAGAGCAAGTGACAATTCATCAGGATATCATCCAAAAAGTCAATGAAGCTTTTACAGCCACCCGTCCTCAGTCCAAGTCCATTCCATCCAGCGGTGGACCCCAAAGAGACTTTCATAAATTTTAACATTCTGTTAATTCAAAACGGGAATTTTCTCAAATATAAATTAATATTATTATATATTAGCATATTGTGCATATTTAGGCATTGGTTAGGTGTTTAGGTTCTGTTGGTGATTATTTGTATTTATAGTACGTGAGTGAAGCATTTACAGTGTTGTGGTTCGAACGAAAGTCGTCAGCGAAGCACTTGTTCCGGAAGTGTTCGGACGTCATCAGTCAGCCCGTCCTCCCATCAGTTGTAAGTCATTTGAGTTTTTCATTCATGAACAGAGGGTTTGGCGGATGCATGGAATGGACTTTGGCATTTGTTTATGAGGATGGGCTGTTTATAGACAATTTAAGGGTTCAAAAAGTGAAAAATTGAAAAGCTCCAAACAACTCAAATGATTCAAACAAAACAAGTATCATTCAAACTAGCATGAAACTCGTTAGTACCAATTGCCACCACCAGGCAGCCCAGCCCCTGAGGCAGCCTAGCTCCTGCCTGCAGCAACTCAAAAACAAACTTTGAAGGGAGGGAGGGAATCAGGGTGTCACTACCAGAAAAGTAATATTTGTCATCGGGTGCCTTGTAGATTTCACTGGATGTAGTAAACACCTATTGCTGTACTGTATAGAATATAAAACACCTACTGCTGTACTGTATATAATATAAAACACCTATTACTGTATACAATCTTGAAATATGTCAGATTGGTTTAAAATATTTTGAAAACAGGCATTTAATATCACTTTTTGGGAGGGACTCCCTTTGGTAACTACCCGAACAATTCACTTCAAGCCTTAAACACCCCCCCTCCATCCCAAGGATCTTTTTTATCATGAGTACCTACCAGAGATGGTACCAGAATCTGGCTTCCTCAATAGAGGGCATCCCCAAATTAAACAACTGCATGGAAAACATTGGTAATCCTGATACAAACTGTGTACACACTCATTGTCCAGAACTAACTGCTAGTTAACACTTGCTCACCTCCAAATGGCAGCTCCAGCCACTCGGTGTTTCAGCAGGCTGGCAATGGTGTCGGTTCCAATGATCATGTTCTTTCTTGGCTTTCTGTGAATTGTTGGTTGGTGCCTAATACTGTCACCTCTGAAAGCATATTATGGTTCCAGTAATAATCTACATGTAAACTGGTAAGTGAACCTTTGTCCTAAACAGAGATTATTCTCAAGTTATAACTTTAATGTATTATAAATCACTGGTTTAAAATATAAAAATGCATGCTAAAACAAAAAACAAAATTCTTTGAAGAATTTAGTTTTGTGTAAGCAGAATTCTTTGGTACTCTGAATAATTTTTTAATTCCGTATTTCACATTGTCAATAATACACTGTACAGTATTAACATAATGAAACTTAACCTAACCATGAATAGAGAGTAGAAATAGCACTAATTATGTAGTCATTCCCAATCCACTCTCTTGTGCGGCTCTCCTCCCTGAGGACAGGTTAAATATCCAACCACATTATCCAGTTAAAAGTATTTTTATGTCCAGTGTACTGTAGAGCCATGTGAGACTTTCTGTAGACATTGCCATTTATCAAGAAAAATAACCTTAATAATGGCTGATAAGAAAAAGTGTGATAGTGATGTCCCAGTGCAAAGCTGGTGACAATCGTGCACTCTGAGAACGGAGAAACTCCACCACACATGTGTTGGCATTACCTGCTTCACAGTTGGTACTACTGACATCATCAAGAACAAGATTACAATTTTAGAGTATGTGGTGGACTCTTGCTCGGTGATAATAACAAGGAAAAAGTCTCTTCTGGTTACACTGAAGATCCACCAATCCCTGCTGCCCATGCATCACCACCTGCCAGCTCTTCCTTCGGTAATTAGACTTCAAACTTAAAAAATTGCAAACTCGACAAGCAAGACAACTCCATCATCCAAGGTAAATAATATGCACTATTTATTATAATGTTTGTCCAAAAATTCTGGGTTTTGTGTTGATTTTTGGTGGTATGTGAATGCATTTCCATTTATAGCATTGCACCTGAGGGAAATCTGGTTTTGACTTATGAATACAGGCACAGACAACTGTGCCTTGATCACTTCCTGAGAGAATGTGAACAATTAAGATACATTAGAAATATGTGTAGAATAATAAACACCACATTGTTTGAGTTAGGAAAATACTATTTGTCAAATATAGATAATTTTCTTGTTTGATAAGTTGTTCACTTGAGACAGTTCAGCAAGTCCCAGCTGTGTCTGGGTACAAGTGACAGGATGAACAATAGGATTCCTTCCAATTGGAAAAAACAGCGGGTTTTCTTCGTATTGAGGTGTTGTACACTGCCCAATATTGAGGTGTCGCTGCCCAATAAACTCGCCCCTCTGGGCAAAATTTTAAATTTACATTTCCTGTTAGCAGGCTGAGAGCTTTCCCCATCCAATAGTTCATGGTGAACCTTACCCATAAGTTTGAAACTGCTGATGGTTTTGGCCTCCACCACCTCACTAAACTTGCTCCAACCATCTACAACTCTTTACAAAAGAAAATTTCTAACATTTTTTCGGCAGCTTTGTTCCCGTAGCTTGAGTCTATATGACTCCTTATTCTTGAAATTGCAGGTTTTAAGAATTCTTCATTTTAATTTTGCCCTGAAGGACGAGTTTATTGGGCAGCAACACTCATCCTGTGAGTGAACACACCGCCATAGCAGCATGTACAACACTCCCCAATAAGAAGAAAACCCGCTGGGTTGTTCATCCTGTCACTTGTACCCAGACACAGCTGGGGCTTGCTTAACTGTCTCAAGTGAACAGCTTATTAAACAGTTTAGTTTAGTTCATTTATTATGCATCCCATACCCATCTTGTGGGCGGTAGTGGAAAGGGTTACAGAGGCACATGATGGGCACAGGGACTGAACCCCACAATTCACTTAGCTAAGCAAGTTACAATCTTGATGAGCTAGTTACAAAATTCAGTATAAGTCGTCACATCATAAATGGCTTCGAGATCGACCACAAATATCTTATTAAATAAGATTAATATTTACCAACCCCTTAAAAACTTACGTTATCTTCCGGGTGCAAAATGGGGGAAATCTTTTGAGACCATTTCTTTGTCAGTTTTGTGGATTGCTGTTATTATTTTTGTATATAGTGATCATATCACCTATCTTTCCTCTATTATTTAGCTTTGTTATGTTTAACACCTTTAGCCTCTCTTCATATCTCTTTTTTTCAGTTCCGGAACATATATAGTTGCATATCTTTGCATCCTTTCCAGTTTATTGAAGTTGTGTGTGTGTATACTCACGTAGTTGTGCTTGCGGGAGTTGAGGTTAGGCATTTTGGTCCTGCCTCTTAACTGTCAATCTACTGGTGTACAGATTCCTGAGCCTACTGGGCTCTATCATATCTACATTTGAAACTGTGTATTGAGTTAGCCTCCACCACATCACTTCCTAATGCTAACCACTGTGACACTGAAAAAGTTCTTTCTAATGTCTCTGTGGTACATTTGGGTACTCTGCTTCCACCTGTGTCCACAAGTGCGAGTACCACCCGTGTTAAATAACCCATTCTTGTCTACCCTGTTAATTCCCCTGAAAATTGTATGTGGTGATCATGTCTCCCCGAGCTCTTCTGTCTTCCAGCGACGTGAGGTGCAGTTAACACAGCCTTTCCTCATAACTTGTGTGTGTGACTGAATTTACGTATGATCTTTCCGCCACCGCTAGGCCAGGACAGATAAAGTGGATGTTGGCTACACAGCAAACTAATCAAAGTAAACAAAAATAGTTACATATAACGGTTATAGCTGGCTACAGCCTGGTCGAGGACCGGGCCGCGGGGACACTAAAAAGCCCCGAAATCATCTAAAGATAACCTCAAGATAACAGTACAGCGTCCAAATTCTCCACTCATACAAGTGAACGGAGATTGGCGAGAGCTTGTGCACGTATGTACAGCCAGCACTTCCTGTTCTATATCGCCAACGCCACAACATACTGTACTCCGTTGCCTTTATAGAACGAGATAGACGCGTTAAATTGTGTAAGGCAAGAAAAAAATGGTGAGGAAGTGAGATAATGTTTTGGAGCTAGAGGGGGTGGGGGTAGAATATTGAGATTGCCATGAAGAGTAATGAATGTATAGGAAGGGGGGGTATCGGGGCAAAATTTAAATTTATAGGAAGGGGGACTGGTGAGATGTGTTGAGTGTGAATAGGGAGAAGACGAAGGGTGATGCCCCTCCCACCAGTACTAGGCAGAGTGATGCCGTACAATATATGGCACACGTACCATTTCGCGCCTTTTCATGGTTATATCCTCTGCCTGATCCAATACTTGCTCGGAAATTATTCTTTGTAATATTTTAAGTGCAATAAATGAGGGTTCTTTTATGCACTTGTAGTATCCTTTTCGTATGTAGGTATTTGACTTGCCCAAACAAATAATTACGGAAAGTCCAGTGTGGGTACGAGGGAGGTGTGTTGAGGCGACTGTGTTGTGAGTACTTGCTGTTGACACAAGTCCACACTACAAGTATATTACTGAGCGTCTTATTGCACTCTTATTTTTGTTATATTTGGCTAACCAATTTCACTAAATACTTTACTCTGTGCAACAAATGAACCAGTTGGGCAACATTCCTGGGAGAAAATCAGAATGCAAATGGTATGGCAATACTGGCTGCCCCCCCCCTCCTTTGCTTCCCCAACCTCCTTACAGTGAACTGCATAAATTCAGCTCCAATGCTAACATGTATTGTATTAACCTTGCACATAATCAACTGTTACACGTTCAAACATGTATAATCGAAAATGAAACAGATTGTGTACAGAATACTTTTTTACTGTAGCATATTAGGAAAAAATATATCTGGGAAATAGTGCAGTTGTAGGTGGTGGCAGCGTCCTGTATAAGCGGGTTATGGTGGGGGAGGGGGTGAAGGGGTCACTATACTACACTTATTATCACAGCGGCACTTGTCTTTATGGTCCTTTATGATGCCCTAGCCTTATACGCGAAATATATATTATATATAGTTAGAATCTTACTTGATAGACGTCTTGAGAAGTACATAGTACACGAAGAACGTTGAAACTACTTGAATTATGTGGAAATTCAAAGTTGCCGTATTGGCAATATACATAGTGGACCATATAACCAGGTACCAGCAGCCCACTCTGGCTGTATGGGACGGACGCCACACACGCGCTGGCGTACGTGCCACACTTGTCTCATGTGAATGAACAACATATTATATATATGGAAATATATATATGATAATTTAAACAAGCCGTGACGCTATATTATATATATTTATATATATAAAGCACAGTCAAGATACATGATAATACATGACTTACCCATGCTCATGACGCGGGCTAGAATAAGTGTAGCTCAGCCATCCACACTTTGGGCGAAGGCAATAATCTAAGAGGAACATAATGATCTAATATTAACCCATACCCATCTTGTGGGCGGTAGTGGAAAGGGTTACAGAGGCACATAATGGGCTCAGGGACTGAACCCCACAATTCATTTAGCTAAGCAAGTTACAATCTTGATGAGCTAGTTACAAAATTCAGTATAAGTCGTCACATCAACAATGGGTTCGAGTTCGACCACAAGTACAGGTTCTACATTAAGCAACTGACATGTGGAGAGCTAGTGTCACAATTGATATGTTTGTCCTGCACACCCCCCCCCCCCCCCCATCCAGTGGGCAGCGGTGGATAGGTTACAATCACTTAGTTACTACCTACAGTTAGCAAACTGGGGATATTTGGCTAAAATTTCTGGTAGCAGATCATTTTGAATGAAATGAAACACATATAATGTTTCAACACATCGTTGAAACATTGGTTATAGAATTGTCTCTGAATTCACGTATCCTTTCGCACTCCATCACATAATGACGGAGGGTGTGCGAATAATTTTGTTGACAGTTTACATATGGTCTGGTCTACATCGGCAGATAATGAGAATTCCCAGAGATACCTGTAACCGAGTCTAAGCCGAGCAGTAGTAACATCTAGAAGTTTGCTGATTTTATTGGATGATCCATAGATGTGTGGCTCCTCTTGCATGATAGTATGATGATAGATGGAATTACTGGGGTCGATTTCACTTTGCCTCAGATCTACAAGATCTTGTTGAAGTTCTCGGTGTACTGCTGCTCTCAGATTGCTCATTGACAATCCAAGGTTACACTCAACGGCTCCTTTAAAGGCAGATTCTTTGGCTAACTTATCAGCTCTATCATGCATTCGGAGGCCAACATGAGATGGAGACCACATGAAATGGACTCTGTTACCATCCTTAATAATTTTGTTATATTTGTGTCTAGCTTCGGACACGAGCATGTTACCGTTGTCTTAAAGAGTTGAGAGCATTTAAGGATAATAAGGAGTCACTTACAATCATTGTATCAAGTTTGGCGACTTGTATACATTTCAGTGCAAGAAGCAAGGCAAATAGTTCGGTCTGAAGGGTAGAGGTCCAGTTGTTTATACGGACTCCCCACTCAAAATATAAGCCATTGAGAAGCCTTCACTCACTGTGTAAGGTGTTTGACGAGTCTTAAACACGGCTGTGTATAGAGCACGCCATGCTGCCCTCAACACGTGTCTTTCTTTCTTAAAGTGTCTTGCGTATAATGGCATGCTTAGGTAGGAAAGGTTAACAAGGTAGAAATATATAGTCAAACTTATGGTTGTTTTATTGTTGTATAGAAGATTACCAAAACTAAGACTCTTTACTGGCTCGCCTTCCTTAACACAAGTTACCTTGTCGAGTTTTATTTAAAAAAAAATACGTGCTCACAACTATATAACTTGCGTTTTATCATTACAAATAAAAATAACTTAGGTGCTATTCTAATTACGTATTATTAGCTCGGCACGCGCGCGCACACAAATACAAAAGTACTT